TGGTCCTCTATCTAGATCTTTTACCGTGATTCACTACCTATCTGTCAACACTTGCATAGACGGACGTGATGCCCTATCTAGATCTTTTACCGTGATTCACTACCTATCTGTCAACACTTGCATAGACGGACATGGTCCTCTATCTAGATCTTTTACCACGATTCACTACCTATCTGTCAACACTTGTATAGATGGACATGGTCCTCTATCTAGATCTTTACCATGATTCACTACCTATCTGTCAACACTTGTATAGATGGACATGGTCCTCTATCTAGATCTTTTACCGTGATTCACTACCTATCTGTCAACACTTGTATAGATGGACATGATCATCTATCTAGATCTTTTACCGTGATTCACTACCTATCTGTCAACACTTGTATAGATGGACATGGTCCTCTATCTAGATCTTTTACCGTGATTCACTACCTATCTGTCAACACTTGCATAGATGCACATGGTCCTCTATCTAGATCTTTTACCATGATTCACTACCTATCTGTCAACACTTGTATAGATGGACATGGTCCTCTATCTAGATCTTTTACCGTGATTCACTACCTATCTGTCAACACTTGTATAGATGGACATGGTCCTCTATCTAGATCTTTTACCGTGATTCACTACCTATCTGTCAACACTTGTATAGATGGACATGGTCCTCTATCTAGATCTTTTACCGTGATTCACTACCTATCTGTCAACACTTGTATATAGATGGACATGGTCCTCTATCTAGATCTTTTACCGTGATTCACTACCTATCTGTCAACACTTGTATAGATGGACATGATCCCCTATCTAGATCTTTTACCGTGATTCACTACCTATCTGTCAACACTTGTATAGATGGACATGGTCCTCTATCTAGATCTTTTACCGTGATTGACTACCTATCTGTCAACACTTATATAGATGGACATGGTCCTCTATCTAGATCTTTTACCGTGATTCACTACCTATCTGTCAACACTTGCATAGACGGACGTGATGCCCTATCTAGATCTTTTACCGTGATTCACTACCTATCTGTCAACACTTGCATAGACGGACATGGTCCTCTATCTAGATCTTTTACCGTGATTCACTACCTATCTGTCAACACTTGCATAGACGGACATGATCCCCTATCTAGATCTTTTACCGTGATTCACTACCTATCTGTCAACACTTGCATAGATGCACATGGTCCTCTATCTAGATCTTTTACCGTGATTCACTACCTATCTGTCAACACTTGTATAGATGGACATGGTCCTCTATCTAGATCTTTACCGTGATTCACTACCTATCTGTCAACACTTGTATAGATGGACATGGTCCTCTATCTAGATCTTTTACCGTGATTCACTACCTATCTGTCAACACTTGTATAGATGGACATGGTCCTCTATCTAGATCTTTTACCGTGATTCACTACCTATCTGTCAACAATTGCATAGATGGACATGGTCCTCTATCTAGATCTTTTACCGTGATTCACTACCTATCTGTCAACACTTGTATAGATGGACATGGTCCTCTATCTAGATCTTTTACCGTGATTCACTACCAATCTGTCAACACTTGTATAGATGGACATGGTCTTCTATCTAGATCTTTTACCGTGATTCACTACCTATCTGTCAACACTTGTATAGATGGACATGGTCCTCTATCTAGATCTTTTACCGTGATTCACTACCTATCTGTCAACACTTGTATAGATGGACATGGTCCTCTATCTAGATCTTTACCGTGATTCACTACCTATCTGTCAACACTTGTATAGATGGACATGGTCCTCTATCTAGATCTTTACCGTGATTCACTACCTATCTGTCAACACTTGTATAGATGGACATGGTCCTCTATCTAGATCTTTTACCGTGATTCACTACCTATCTGTCAACACTTGTATAGATGGACATGGTCCTCTATCTAGATCTTTACCATGATTCACTACCTATCTGTCAACAATTGTATAGATGGACATGGTCCTCTATCTAGATCTTTTACCGTGATTCACTACCTATCTGTCAACACTTGTATAGATGGACATGGTCCTCTATCTAGATCTTTACCGTGATTCACTACCAATCTGTCAACACTTGTATAGATGGACATGGTCTTCTATCTAGATCTTTTACCGTGATTCACTACCTATCTGTCAACACTTGTATAGATGGACATGGTCCTCTATCTAGATCTTTTACCGTGATTCACTACCTATCTGTCAACACTTGTATAGATGGACATGGTCCTCTATCTAGATCTTTACCGTGATTCACTACCTATCTGTCAACACTTGTATAGATGGACATGGTCCTCTATCTAGATCTTTACCGTGATTCACTACCTATCTGTCAACACTTGTATAGATGGACATGGTCCTCTATCTAGATCTTTTACCGTGATTCACTACCTATCTGTCAACACTTATATAGATGGACATGGTCCTCTATCTAGATCTTTTACCGTGATTCACTACCTATCTGTCAACACTTGCATAGACGGACGTGATGCCCTATCTAGATCTTTTACCGTGATTCACTACCTATCTGTCAACACTTGCATAGACGGACATGGTCCTCTATCTAGATCTTTTACCACGATTCACTACCTATCTGTCAACACTTGTATAGATGGACATGGTCCTCTATCTAGATCTTTTACCATGATTCACTACCTATCTGTCAACACTTGTATAGATGGACATGGTCCTCTATCTAGATCTTTTACCGTGATTCACTACCTATCTGTCAACACTTGTATAGATGGACATGATCATCTATCTAGATCTTTTACCGTGATTCACTACCTATCTGTCAACACTTGTATAGATGGACATGGTCCTCTATCTAGATCTTTTACCGTGGTTCACTACCTATCTGTCAACACTTGCATAGATGCACATGGTCCTCTATCTAGATCTTTTACCATGATTCACTACCTATCTGTCAACACTTGTATAGATGGACATGGTCCTCTATCTAGATCTTTTACCGTGATTCACTACCTATCTGTCAACACTTGTATAGATGGACATGGTCCTCTATCTAGATCTTTTACCGTGATTGACTACCTATCTGTCAACACTTGTATAGATGGACATGGTCCTCTATCTAGATCTTTTACCGTGATTCACTACCTATCTGTCAACACTTATATAGATGGACATGGTCCTCTATCTAGATCTTTTACCGTGATTCACTACCTATCTGTCAACACTTGCATAGACGGACATGATCCCCTATCTAGATCTTTTACCGTGATTCACTACCTATCTGTCAACACTTGTATAGATGGACATGGTCCTCTATCTAGATCTTTTACCGTGATTCACTACCTATCTGTCAACACTTGTATAGATGGACATGGTCCTCTATCTAGATCTTTTACCGTGATTCACTACCTATCTGTCAACACTTGTATAGATGGACATGGTCCTCTATCTAGATCTTTTACCGTGATTCACTACCTATCCGCCAACACTTGTATAGATGGACATGGTCCTCTATCTAGATCTTTTACCGTGATTCACTACCTATCTGCCAACACTTGTATAGATGGACATGGTCCTCTATCTAGATCTTTTACCGTGATTCACTACCTATCCGCCAACACTTGTATAGATGGACATGGTCCTCTATCTAGATCTTTTACCGTGATTCACTACCTATCTGTCAACACTTGTATAGATGGACATGGTCCTCTATCTAGATCTTTTACCGTGATTCACTACCTATCTGTCAACACTTATATAGATGGACATGGTCCTCTATCTAGATCTTTTACCGTGATTCACTACCTATCTGTCAACACTTGTATAGATGGACATGGTCCTCTATCTAGATCTTTTACCGTGATTGACTACCTATCTGTCAACACTTGTATAGATGGACATGGTCCTCTATCTAGATCTTTACCGTGATTCACTACCTATCTGTCAACACTTATATAGATGGACATGGTCCTCTATCTAGATCTTTACCCGTGATTCACTACCTATCTGTCAACACTTGCATAGACGGACATGATTCCCTATCTAGATCTTTTACCGTGATTCACTACCTATCTGTCAACACTTGTATAGATGGACATGGTCCTCTATCTAGATCTTTTACCGTGATTCACTACCTATCTGTCAACACTTGTATAGATGGACATGGTCCTCTATCTAGATCTTTTACCGTGATTCACTACCTATCTGTCAACACTTGTATAGATGGACATGATCATCTATCTAGATCTTTTACCGTGATTCACTACCTATCCGCCAACACTTGTATAGATGGACATGGTCCTCTATCTAGATCTTTTACCGTGATTCACTACCTATCTGCCAACACTTGTATAGATGGACATGGTCCTCTATCTAGATCTTTTACCGTGATTCACTACCTATCCGCCAACACTTGTATAGATGGACATGGTCCTCTATCTAGATCTTTTACCATGATTCACTACCTATCCGTCAACACTTGGTGAATGCTTCATTGATTTGATAATAACTAATAATGGACATATTTAGCCCGTCTGTATCCACACACACATGCATGCACATGGTGCTACAATATAATCAGGGGATAATGTACACCCAAATATACATTGTGGGTTTGAAGAGTTGTTAATAATAGCTGCTCTTGAAGAGATAGCTAGGTTTTCAAGGTTTGAAACGTTTTAGAATTGTTGAATTTAAACAGAACTGTATTTGTATTAGGGTACATTTACTTTTAACTGTATTTTGTTCTTGAACCATTGCTGATAGATTGTTAACTTTTTTGTTAACAAAAAAACGTGACAAAAGCTGATCAATTTGCTCCTCTCCACTCACTCACTCACCCACCCCACTCACTCACTTATTGCTAAATCTCGGATACAGATGTCATATTTTGTCCAGCAAGTTCAGGTGTATTGATGTATGTACTGTACACATGGTATGTACAATATGATTGCTGCTGTCACATCCAACTGATCAACTGCTGGAAACTGCTACTTTCTTCTCTCTATTCCAGTCCTGTAAAAGATACTGTAGTCACTAATGACAGATGGGGAAAAGGTATCGCTTGTCACCATGGTGGCTTCCTCACCTGTAGCGACAGGTATAATCCAGGTGAGAACAGTTTAATCACTAGTTGTCCACTGTGCTCGTCATTCAAGAATTTCGACATGCTGATGTGAATGTTGTTTCATAATCTGGTACAGCTAAGAGATAATCACGATAATTTCAGTTTATTATAATTTAAGAAATATGTACACATTCATATGCTTCTTGATGGTATAATGAGGAGTGTTGGGCGACTTGTTCACTATAACAACAGGCTTGCTGAGAACCCAAGATATACAATATGTATGCATGATATACATTCTGTCATGCAGGGGTCCTTCAAAAGAGAAAATTTGAGAATGCCATGACGATTGATAAATATTCCTGGGGATACCGACGTAATGCGAGGATCACTGACTTCCTGAGCACCAAGGACCTATTGGCGACTTTCATCCAGACTGTCAGGTACGGTGCTACAGTTGGTGATAACATTGATGTACAAAACATTCTGGTCACAGTATCTGCACACATGTAGTTAATACACCTTTAAACAATCAACTGAACTCTTTAGTAATCTATTATTTAATGTATGTCGATAATGTAGTCAACTATATAGACACATAGAAAATAAACATATGAACACATGCACAGGGTGAGGAGATATGTGAGCTTCATAAGACAAAAATCATGTATAAAGTGTCCAAGTCTATCCTGTCTATAATGTGTCTAGGTCTATCCTTGGGGCGGTGGGTAGCCTAGTGGTTAAAGCGCTGGCTCGTCACTCCGAAGAACTTGGTTCGATTCCCCACATGGGTACAATGTGTGAAGCCCATTTCTGGTGTCCCCGCCACTGTGGTGTTGCTGGAATATTGCTAAAAGCAGCGTAAAACCATACTCAGTCAGTCAGTCTAAGCCTATCCTGTCTGTAGTGTGCCCAAGTCTGTCTTGTAATCTCCCTAAGTCTATCCTGTCTGTAATGTGCCCAACTCTGTCTTGTAATCTCCCTAAGTCTATCCTGTCTGTAGTGTGCCCAAGTCTGTCCTGTTATCTCCCTAAATCTATCCTGTCTGTAGTGTGCCCAAGTCTGTCCTGTAATCTCCCTAAGTCTATCCTGTCTGTAATGTGCCCAAGTCTGTCTTGTAATCTCCCTAAGTCTATCCTGTCTGTAATGTGCCCAAGTCTGTCTTGTAATGTGCCCAAGTCTGTCCTGTCTATAATGTGACCAAGTCTATCCTGTCTGTAATGTGTCCAAGTCTATCCTGTAATGTGTCCAAGTCTATCCTGTCTGTAATGTGCCCAAGTCTATCCTGTCTGTAATGTGTCCAAGTCTATCCTGTCTGTAATGTGTGTAATGTGTCCAAGTCTATCCTGTCTGTAATGTGCCCAAGTCTATCCTGTCTGTAATGTGTCCAAGTCTATCCTGTCTGTAATGTGCCCAAGTCTATCCTGTCTGTAATGTGCCCAAGTCTATCCTGTGTGTAATGTGTCCAAGTCTATCCTGTCTGTAATGTGCCCAAGTCTATCCTGTCTGTAATGTGTCTATCCTCCAAGTCTATCCTGTCTGTAATGTGTGTAATGTGTCCAAGTCTATCCTGTCTGTAATGTGTCCAAGTCTATCCTGTCTGTAATGTGTCCAAGTCTATCCTGTCTGTAATGTAATGTGTCCAAGTCTATCCTGTCTGTAATGTTCCCAAGTCTATCCTGTCTGTAATGTGTCCAAGTCTATCCTGTCTGTAATGTGCCCAAGTCTATCCTGTCTGTAATGTGACCAAGTCTATCCTGTCTGTAATGTGCCCAAGTCTATCCTGTGTGTAATGTGCCCAAGTCTATCCTGTGTGTAATGTAACCAAGTCTATCCTGTGAGTAATGTAACCAAGTCTATCCTGTGTGTAATGTAACCAAGTCTATCCTGTGTGTAATGTAACCAAGTCTAATGTAACCAAGTCCTATCCTGTGTGTAATGTAACCAAGTCTATCCTGTGTGTAATGTAAATGTAACCAAGTCTATCCTGTGTGTAATGTAACCAAGTCTATCCTGTGTGTAATGTAACCAAGTCTATCCTGTGTGTAATGTAACCAAGTCTATCCTGTGTGTAATGTGACCAAGTCTATCCTGTGTGTAATGTAACCAAGTCTATCCTGTGTGTAATGTAACCAAGTCTATCCTGTGTGTAATGTAACCAAGTCTATCCTGTGTGTAATGTAACCAAGTCTATCCTGTCTGTAATGTAACCAAGTCTATCCTTTCTGTAATGTAATTCCCTGTCTGTAATGTAACCAAGTCTATCCTGTGTAATGTGCCCAAGTCTAATGCTGTCCTGTAATGTGCCCAAATATATCCGGGTTTGTAATATGGTCAAGTTTATCCTGTCTGTAATGTGCCCACGCCTGTGTCTGTAATGTGCGTCTATTCCTGTCTGTAATGTGCCCACGTCTGTCTCTGTCTCGTAATTTGCCCAAGTGATTCCTGTCTGTAATGTGCCCAAGTCTATCCTGTCTGTAATGTGTGTTTCATGGGTGTTCCTGTAGTGTACAAAATCACAATATCGCCATGTCTTACACACCAATACAGTTCATCTCTGTGAGAAGATTTGAAAGCCAACAGGGATTGTTGTGTCATCAGGCAATTACCATGGTGGCGTGGACATTTGTGGTGGTCCGATTAATTGAAATAATCGAAGATTGGTCGCAGTGAATATACGACCAAGCAATCGATCATGTTTTCTCATAATTGAACACAAACAATTCTGGAACACTGGTTTTCATTAACAATATATTTCACAATTGGTTTTGTCTGTTACATTTCATAAGCACTACAAGCTCGTTCCAAGTCATGATTGAATATATCTTAAAGACTCTAAGAAATTTATGTCCCTTACATACTTGTCATCCTTTAAAGATATGAAATTTTGCACCAAAAAACCCAAAAGGACTACATGTTTTTTTTCCTTATTTGAGCATTAACAAAAATAACCAGGAACATTTCATAAATGACGCTAACCAATTATTTTCAATGATTGATCAGCTGTAATGAACCAATCATCAATTATGAGATTTTAACCAATTCCCAACACTAGTGGACATTACCTAAACACAGCATTCCGAGTAACAGACTTTTTGCTTGTACATAAACATAACTGAGTAGTTCTACAAACTGACAGTCAGTACAGGTATGTTGTGGCCGAAATATTGTACACTTTGTTATATCCTAGCTCCTGGAAACACACACCAAGTATGTACAATGGAGCAACTATTGATGTTCCTGATGGCCTTCCTTTTGATGTGACTGAAATTTCTGAATCAAGGTGGCATTGAATGTTAGTAAACTGACATCTCATTCACATCAGTATTAAATGTGGATGGTCAGTTTCCTGAGAGTTGACCGGAACCTCCTGTTTGTGACATCTTCATGCAGACAGATATAAAGGTACTGAGGATAAACACCTGACCCAGTTATGGTTTGTTTCTTCACAGCTGTGGCGGCAACATGCTGATGAATGTTGGACCCACCAAAGATGGCCTGATCATACCCCTGTTCCAGGAACGCCTGCTGAATATGGGCGAGTGGCTCAACGTCAACGGTGATGCCATCTACAGTACTCGCCCCTGGACTTTCCAGAACGACTCCCTCACCAACAATACATGGTAAATATTGGATCCTAGCCATCATTGTGGAATTGTGTTCCTGTGCCAACATATGATGTGATAGTGTTTCTATACCAACATATGATGTACGTGATAATGTTTCTATGACAACATATAATGTGATAGTGTTTCTATGACAACATATAATGTGATAGTGTTTCTGTGCCAACATATAATGTGATAGTGTTTCTATGACAACATATTATGTGATAGTGTTTCTGTGACAACTATAATGTGATAGTGTTTCTATGACAACTATAATGTGATAGTGTTTGTATGACAACATATGACATGATAGTGTTTCTATGACAACATATGACATGATAGTGTTTCTATGACAACATATAATGTGATAGTGTTTGTATGACAACATATGACGTGATAGTGTTTGTATGACATGATAGTGTTTCTATGACAACATATGATGTGATAGTGTTTCTATGACAACATATGACATGATAGTGTTTCTATGACAACATATTACATGATAGTGTTTCTATGACAACATATGATGTGATAGTGTTTGTATCTCAGTTGAGGCAGCCAACAAAGGCTGAAATATTTTATTATGCTCACACAGACTATAAACACTAAACTCAAATAGTGTTTCATGCCAATGTAGGCTGGAGAAGTATAACATAAACAAGAGTCAAAGAACTTCCAAATTTGAAATGTCAAACCCTAAAGCACTGACCAGTGTATATCACAAGCAGTGTCCCACGATACATCCAGGGACAGACTGACCAGTGTATATCACAAGCAGTGTCCCACGATACATCCAGGGACAGACTGACCAGTGTATATCACAAGCAGTGTCCCACGATACATCCAGGGACAGACTGACCAGTGTATATCACAAGCAGTGTCCCACGATACATCCAGGGACAGACTGACCAGTGTATATCACAAGCAGTGTCCCACGATACATCCAGGGACAGATTGACCAGTGTATATCACAAGCAGTGTCCCACGATACATCCAGGGACCGACTGACCAGTGTATATCACAAGCAGTGTCCCGCGATACATCCAGGGACAGACTGACCAGTGTATATCACAAGCAGTGTCCTACGATACATACAGGGACAGATTGACCAGTGTATTCAGTCACTGAGGCTGCACATCCAATCAATGTTTGCTCATTTTACGACAAGCCTGGATTGCCAGGAACCAATTGTTCCATTATATCATGTAACTTGTGTTGTTTCAGGTATACCTCTAAAGTGACGGCCAGTGGCCGGAATGTGTATGCTATCATCCTCGACTGGCCGAAAGGGGAGACTCTGAGCCTTGGCCGACCTTTGACCACGGTTGCCACCACAGTGAGCCTGATGGGATATCCTGGGAAGTTCAACTGGAAGGAGAGAAGCACTGGCGGCATGGACATCGAGATTCCAGCCATCCCCATCAACAAGATGCCGTGTAAATATGCCTGGGCGTTCCAGCTGACTGGTATAGGGAATTGATGAAGTAGGACCACATAGAAGCTGGACTGGAGCCTTGTAAAATCAAGTGTCCTGTTTCTCACACCCAAGCCATAACAAAGCAATGTTATTTTTAAGAACTGTTGAGAAACACTCTTTCATCTCCAGTTTTCATGAGAAACATGAATATTTGTTTAACTGCCCAAGCAACAGTGTGATCATTCAGTAGGTATATTATATTTCACCCACAAGGTAGTCTGATAGGATTTCTAGCCATGTAATCTTCCCCACCAGGAAGTGGGTCCTGGCTCCATATGATGAACTCTGTGTACAGTGGATATACATTTCTACATGTGTGTATGTTTTTGTTTAGATGTGTACATATTTCTTTGACATTCCATTGGATGGTAAATGTATGTCCTGTATACAAGTCTCTGATTGAACACAGTATTTGGGCATTAGTGGTGTCCATGGGTAAAAGTCACGATATTCTTCAAACACAACATGGAAGGACATTTATAAACATGCCTACAATTTGAACCAGTTTTGAAGAAATATCCAAATGTGATATTTATAATATCATTTGAATTTGAAAACAAATACATGCTAATATGCTTATAAGGCTGTTCTAATAGGCCTATTTCATATACAGGTATGTAACTATTTATTTCACATGATATTGACTGTGGAAATGTAGACACATTCTGGACAGATTGTACATGCCATACATGAGAGAATCTTGTGTCCTATGATTGTGATCGTTGAACTGAATCAGGCACTATTCAACCCTTTCACGACTTCATGTATTTCTGTACTTAAACTTGCTTATCATATTCACACCCATTTTGACGTTTCTAAGTACAAACTGTAGTTTTGAAATACAGACTATAATTATTCATATAGCCTCAACTAATTAAATTACATAAATGATTGGAAAACGTGTGTTTTTTTAACATCTATATGTGAAAAAGATGGAACTCTTGTAGTAGTTATATTCAAAATAATTAGGTAAAAAAGTGTTAATTCAAATTGCATAGATAATCTTGTTCACCCATAAAAGTTTCACTTCCTGTGTAGCACTGAACTGGCAACATGTGACTTGATATCTCTGCAGAACAATTAATTTCAAATTTTTATTTATACCATTATTTCACACTGGAGAAACAAAGGGGGAACCTCTGGTCAGCTGTGACAGACAGGGCTCCAGATCATTTTTCAACATCAGGAGTACGTACTCCTTATTTTTTCAGTATATGAGTACTGGAAAACAATAAGAGTACATTTAGAGTACTGAATGGATATTAATGGTGTATAATTAAACTTGTGCTTTGTTTCATATATGTATGACAGCATTGTTACTCTGGTGTAAACGGTCAATAAACAATTAAACAATACTTTTCAGATAAATATGTCTGTAAATGATTCTAAGACCGTACACAATTGCTGTGGTGCGTATCTGCTACGTTTTCTAAATTATTTCCTACCGTATCGTGTGTATTTTTATCCGTATATACGCCGATACGGCCCTTACCTGTAGCCCTGGACAGGGTTTACTATAGAATGTATAAAACCCTTAATTTGACATATAGTCAGGTGTACAAAGTTGTAAACAAATCAGTGTTTACCACAGGGATCGTGTCAAAATCAAAACCAGGAAGGAAACTCATAATGGATAGCTTGGATAAGGGTGTCATACGCCGTGCAGTTTATAAACGCAAAATCACACCGACGTGTGCTAACATACAAGATGTTGGCGAAAACAACACTTATTGTAGCTCTGGTAGAAATGGGGTTCAGGTACACCAAAGGGGAGATGACAGAGCATGTGTTTAGAGAAAAGTACTCAATCCTGTCCATGCGATCAGCTTATCTCAGAACAGTTGAAGAATACCGCAAATTGGGGTTTCAAATCATATACCTTGATGAAACCTGGTGTAATAAAAATCACTCAACCGATCAGATGTGGCTTCCTTCAGATTGTTCTAAGGCACCAGTGTTACCATCAGGCAAAGGTAGAAGCCTGATCATCTTGCATGCTGGTACCCGTAGCAAGGGACTGATTGGGGGTTGTGACTTTGTTTTTGAGGCCAAGAAATCTGATGGTGATTACCATAGCGAAATGAATGGGCAGGTATTTTTGGATTGGTACGAACATCAGCTTTTACCGTAGCTGGACGAACCAAGCGTTATCATTTTGGATAACGCCAGTTACCATAACCTGCGTGTCCCTGGTACCATCACACCCACCATGAGCAATCTCAAGGCTCAGTTGCAGGATTTTCTCACTTCCTGTAACGTGCCTTACAGGCAGTCAGAAAGAAAGCCCCAGCTCATGGAAGCACAAAAAGCCAATCCAGTACATCACTGACGAACTAGCTGCAAAACAAGGCCACAAAGTTCTGCGTACACCGGTACGGCACTGTGAGCTCAATCCCATCGAGCTGATCTGGGGTAACTGTAAGAATTTTATTGCTCCCAATAATACCACATTCAAGCTTTCAGACGTTAAAGAGCTTGTGTATGCTTCTTTTGCGAGAATTACCCCAGATGTGTGGCAAAAGGCTGAAGACCGTGTTCTCAAAATCGAGGCCGAATACCGTCTGCGAGACGGCGTTAACGCCAGCCGAGTTGCACTTGTTGTAATTCCGCTAGAGTCCTCGACCAGCAGTTATACTGACACTTGATATTTTGAGACGGTCCCTGACAAGCGGTGCCGGTGCCGCTGTCACCCTGTCTGCCTGCCAGGTGGGTCACAGTATAGTTTGTTTCTTAGACATGTTTCTATCATGGAAGGTTTTCGATATTTTACGAGTAATCATTATGATTAATGAATGGTACATCGTGATTACTCATATGCCACATTAGGTCGAGGTGGTATGAATGATTATATATGAGTTTTGAATCTGAAATATCAACCATTATCAAATAATTGCCAAAAAGCATTTTCCAAGCATTTCTGGCCTTACTTTAGCTATATGGCAGTGGTCAAAACAAATGAATGTTCGTTGATGAAGCTTTGAACACTCAAGTTTGGATGGACGCTTTTATGTTTTTTTAGTTTTAGAAAACAATTTGAAGAAAGGTCAAGGGTAGGGAGCTCTAGATATTGTCTGACATATTTCTTCATATGAAGGTGTCAAAACTCCTTCTTCCAATCAACAACAAGAATCACAACATAAGCAGTGTAGGAAAGATGGAGAAAATCTATCCTGTCCACAGGACTGGCAGGTCAAATTTTTTACCAGTCCTGCCAAAATCTAGCCTGTCCTCCAAATATAAATAAAACACCTTCGGCAGTAAATATTCAAAAAGGTTATAATCATTATATATATGTTATTGGTTTGCTAAAATTGACCCGACATGAGGACGGACTAGATATTTTTTTAACCCGTCCTCCACAAAATTCACCCGTCTCGGACGTTGGGACGGGCTATCTTTCCTACACTGACATAAGGATTCGTGGCTTCAACATTCACATGTACCTAAAAGACATTTTGCCTGTCCCAGGCTCACCTACAGCTCGATATTACTGACAGTCCTTTCTGCTTCAGGTATATCGATAATCTGTTATCGTTCAATTACCATAAAACTCACATTTCCTTCCACTTTCTTACCATCTGAACTTGAACTAAGGTGAGAACCTTCATATTTCATAGCTGGAATCTTTCATAAATATTCATAGGGACAGAAACCTCTCCACATGGATGTAACACAACAGGGCTGACATCAAATGCCCAGCAGTCAACGTCCCCTTCACGCCAGTTAAAGCTCCAGCTTCTGGAGCATGCTCTTTGTCAAGATTTGAAAGAGCGTCATATGACGGTGTTAGTTCAAGTAAAGAGCGTCATATGACGGTGTTAGTTCAAGTATACAACATTCGCGATCTCAGTTATTTTTTCCGAAAAGGGGGACGCTTCCAAATTTGACGCATCAGCGAAAAAACTGATGTCCGATGCAGTTCCTCAATTGACTTGTACCATACGTTTGTTGCTTTGCCGGGTGAACACTTGATAGCTTTTACATGTGTTTATGCCGGGTGCCTGGAGTGGGGCCTTTCACATGACATAATATCAATGTCAATGGTTGACCTACAAACGACTCTGCCTTTAGCCAAGATTTCCTGTGGATGTACAAAGGGTTTTGCCGCTTCTGTCTATGGATACTACTCACAGTCATAATCTAACACCATAAACTGCATACGCATGATAAAATATAAACTTGCCAAAGTTCCTTAAACATTACCATACTATCCCGTGACATTCTTTTCTTGATGGTACACATCTGGACCCCCGCATCCTTTTTACTAACGGTATTCAAAGTTTTCATTCAGTGAGAGTGGTCTCCCTTGACCATATCACACGTTGTTACTGCATCTTCGTACTGTGTCTCAGATTTCATCATCACGTCTCCCAATTATTCAGAACATGTCATGATTTCGTCAATCGAACAACTATATGCAGGGTTGGTGGAGTTGCCATGATATGCACAGACTCTTTTGTTGTAAACGGTATAAAAACTCAGAGTCAGCTACATGTTATTTGACTATACTGGTGTTGCCATTTTCAACACAACAGTCAGAACTGTGTTTATACTGACCACCGCCATTTCCTGATGATTTGCCAGTGTTGTTCTCGACATACCCAAGATCCCAGCCTAAGTTGTTAGAGACGAATGTTCCCTATTTGGATAAAGGTAAGTCAGAAGTACGGAATGAAGTCATTATGTTAATTCTCATTCGCTGAAACAACAGGTCTTGTCACAACACGTTAACAGTTGATGGACATCTAGCGTCTGACATTCTGTTATTCAAACCTCACTCCACATACGTCAAATGGACAAATCTCAACAAATTACACAGTGCGCGAGTAGACTGACAGATCACCACAACTCTATGAAGTTTCTCACTGGGAGGAAAAACGAAGTTGTTCTTCCTCATAATGATAACCTCTCCAACTCGCCATTGATTTTAACTCATTCTTTGAAAATAAAATTCTTGATATTAGAGAGCTCCATCAGAAATACACCAAACTCGACACTCCGTTCACTGATATCTTGTTTGAGGACATTTGGTTCACTGGCAACCTGCCTAAACAATACAATGCAAAGCAACCTTGTAATGGAATGTATGGAAGTTTTACTCCAAGTTATCACAGACATTATGAACAAAAACCATCACCTCAAGTCTTCCCAGGCTCTTTGAAAGAATCCATTGTGAGACCTTTCATAAAGAACAACAAACTTGATAGAAACATCTTGAAGAGTTATCTGTCGGTCGCAAATTTAACATTTCTTTCTGAATCTGAGTTAAAAGCTGCTACAGAACGACTGATAGAACACCTATCTTTCTACATTCTGACTATCAGTCAGCCCATCATCTTCACCACACAACACCTTCTCTGCTCCAAGGAGTTGGAAGTGATTTGTTGTGTCTCGTTGGGTCCGGTAACATTTCAATGTTGTCGCTGGGTGTGTGAGTTGGGTGGCTGACTGTGTGCTGGCGATTGGTCCCTGACTGTGTGGGGGGGAATCCCGGATAATTCTCAACCTAACAAAACCATTAGAATCTGTACATTATTGAGAAAGTGTAATCCCAAACATAACGTGTTTCATTGGACCGGCTGACTTTGTGTGCTGGCGATTAGGTGCCTGACTCTGAGAGTGTGGGTACTAGAATCTGTACTTTACTGAGAAAGTGTAATCCAAATCTAGTGTGTGGTACACATTGTTCAGTTCAGTTCAGTTTATTCAGTAATTCTGGCCTTAAGGCCTACATTACAATTATTGTTGTTCCAGAATACTTTGCAGGTCACGTGAACATATGGTTTCATACATGGTTACATTTATGGCTACGCACAGTAAAAACATGTTTGAGATACATTGCTACAGACTTAATGGTCATAATATTCTTAGAATTTAACAAATTTGACAGTGAATGTTTATCTATTACAGTGTGTGAAAGAAATGGCATATACTTTTTTCGCAAACTTAGATACTGGGTGCATACAAACATGACATGAAACTCATCCTCTATAGCGCCTGTATTACAATTAGAACAGATCAAATCACTTTTACATTCTGTAGAAATACCATGTTTACGTGCCCCATTTACACAGAAATCATGAAAACCAATTCTTAATTTACATAATGCTCTTATCAAAGATTTATCATGAAAATTTAAAATATACAATTCTGGTTCTAGCAAAGACTTATGAGAGGCATAATATTCTAAATATCTAGAAGTACTAATGGACATAGACCACTCTTGAATGAAAATATCACATAGGCGCTGTTTGAAAAGAGATATAAAACAGTCTTCATTGCCAACCCCTTGGGCAAGCCATACATAGGAAAATCCAGTAGAAAAGAGTAATAATCTAACGTTAGACACCCAATT